AGGATGACTTCTCCACAACACTTAATACCTCCTCTGCCTTTCAGATGACCGTCTCCAGCGTGAGGCTAATCAGAGCCCACTGGCAGGCTGGCCCAGACTCGGACTGCAGGGCCCCACTCCCAGAGTTTGGCTCAGGAGGCCCCAGGTACTGACTTGAGAATTTACGTCTCTAACAAAGTCCTAGAGGCGGCGGTGGCTGTTACTGGTCTGGGGACCACACTCAGAGAGCCACTGTGAGGTTGTGCTGTGGTAACTGTAGAAAAGGAGCTCCGGTGGTGCAACGGTTAAGTGCTTGGCTGCGAACCAAAAGGTTAGCAGCTCGAACCCATCCAGCTGTGCTGTGGGAGAAAGCCCTGGTGATCTCCTTCGATAAAGATTCCAGCAGGAAAACCTCATGGGGCAGTTCCAGTCTGTCACTTGAGGCTGCCGTGAGTCAAACATTGGTTGGTACAAAGCCACAATAACAATAATCTTAAAATGATGAACGTTTGTTTCGGGCTCATGCTTCTTGTCTACCAAAAGGTGGTTGTGTAAAGGGGGTGCTCTGCTCATTGTAATCACTCCAGGACCTGGACGCAGCCAGAAACATTGGGTTGGCCAGACCAGAGGAAAAGGACAGCTGTGCAGGATCTGGCATTGGCCATGGACCCTGGCCTGGGAGGATACGCTCACAGCCACTCACCACACGTTGGCCAAAGTGAGTCACGTGACACCACCGACCCCCAAGGAAATCAGGAACCGCCACTTTCCACTCCTGGCCAGAGCTGGATTCTGCAGCAGACAGCCCAGTGATGACCCTAGCTGCACAAACGTGGTCCCACCTTCCTTGCCTTCCAGAACTTTTCCTACGTGCCCCTCCCTTCTCTCATAGAGCTGGTCCCCTCTGTGCTCCAAAGGCCCTGGCTGCACCTCCGTCACAGCCCTGACATGTCATTGTTTTGTCAGAGTACTGGAGGGCTCAGCACTGGCCATCTCATCTACAGACCCAAACACAGTGCCCAGCACATCAAAAACCAGTTACCATCAAGTCAGCACTGACTCGGGGGCCCTATGTGTTTCTGAGTAGAACTAGGCTCCACAGGGCTTTCAATAGTTGGTGTTTCAGGGGAAGATCACCAGGCCTTTCTTCCAAGCCACTTCTGGGTGCATTCCAACCTCCAACCTTTCAGTGAACAGCTAGCTGAGCACCTTTAACTATCTGCACCTCCCCGGGACTCTGCCCAGCACGTTAGATGTTTAATAAATAAAGGCTTTATTGAATGAATCAATCAATCAACCAATCAATCAACCAACACATTTTTTGCTACAGTGTGAAGAAGATAACAAATATTTGCCTCCCTTTGGTGGTGCCTGCTCTTGCCATCCCTTCAGCACCCACTCCAGGGTTCCTCCCACCGTGTCAAGTTCACCAGTGACCAGTGGATACATGTCAGCAGAACTTGACCCTCTT